GGTCCTGTTGTGAGGATTTTTGTTTTCTTTATGTTGAGGTGTAATCCATACTGAAGGCTGTGGTCTTTGATCTTCATCAGTAAGTGCTTCAAGTCTTCTTCACTTTCAGCAAGCAAGGTTGTGTCATCTGCATAATGCATGTTGTTAATGAGTCTTCCATCAATCCTGATGCCCTGTTCGTCTTCATATAGTCCAGCTTCTTGAATTATTAGCTCAGTATATAGACTGAATAGGTATGGTAAAAGGATACAACCCTGACGCACACCTTTCCTGACTTTAAAACCACGCAGCATCCCTTTGTTCTGTTCTAATAACTGCCTGTTGGTCTATGTACAGGTTCCTCATGAGCACAATTTAGTGTTCTGGAGTTCCCATTCCTCGAAATGTTATCTATAATTTGTTATGATCCACACAGTCAAATGCCTTTGCATAGTCAATAAAACACAGGTAAACATCTTTCCGGTATTCTCTGTTTTCAGCCGGGATCCATCTGACATCAGCCACCATATCCCTCATTCCACATCCTCTTCTGAATCTGGCTTGAATTTCTGGCACTTCCAGGTCGATGTACCTCTACAACTGTTTTTAAATGATCTTCAGCAAAATTTTACTTTTGTGTGATATTAATGATATTGTTAGATAATTTCTGCATTTTGTTGGATCATCTTTCTTTGAGATAGGCATAAATGTGGAACTCTTCCAGTCTGTTGGCCAGGTAGATGTCTTCCAAATTTCTTGGCATAGATGACTGAGCACTTCCAGCGCTGCATATGTTTGCTGAAACATCTCCATTGGTATTCTGTCAGTTCCTGGAGATTTGTTTTTTGCCAATGCCTTCAGTGCAGCTTGGACCTCTTCCTTCAGTACCATTGGTTCTTGATCATATGCTACCTCCTGAAGTGGTTGAATGTCAACCAATTCTTTTTGGTGTAGTGACTGTGTATTCCTTCCATTTTCTTTTGATGCTTCCAGTGTCGTTCAATATTTTGCCCGTAGAATCCTTCACTATTGCAAGTTGAGGCTTGAATTTTTTCTTCAGTTCTTGAAGCTTGAGAAATGCCGAGTGTATTCTTCCTTTTTGGTTTTCTATCTCCAGGTCTTTGCACATGTCATTATAATACTTTACTTTGTCTTCTCGAGCTGCCGTTTGAAATCTTCTGTTCAGCTCTTGTACTTCATCATTTCTTGCGGTTGCTTTAGCTTCTCTATATTCAAGTGCAAGTTTCAGAGTCTCTTCTGACATCCGTTTTGGTCTTTTCTTCCTGTCTTTTTAATGACCTTTTGCTGTCTTCATGTCTGATGTCCTTGATGTGATTCCACAACTTGTCTGGTCTTCGGTCATTAGTGTTCAGTGTGTCAAATCTATTCTTCACATGGTTTTTAAATCTAGATAGGATATATATTCAAGGTCGTATTTTGACTCTATTGGACTTATTTTAATTTTCTTCAGCTCCAGCTTGAACTTGCATATAAGCGGTTGATGGTCTGTTCCACAGTCAGCCCCTGGCCTTGTTCTGACTGATGACATTGAGCTTTTTCATCGTTTCTTTCCACAGATTTAGTCGACTTGATTCCTGTATATTCAACAGCAAGGTTCACGTGTATAGTCGCTGTTTATGTTGGTGAAAAAAGGTATTTGCAGTGAAGACGTCATTGGTCTTGCAAAATTCTATCTTGTAATCTCTGGCATTGTTTCTATTACTAAGGCTGTATTTTCCAGCTACATATCCTTCTTTGTTTCCAACTTTCGCATTCCAATCACCATTAATTATCAATGCATCCTAATTGCATGTTCGATCATTTTCAGACTGCAGAAGTTGGTAAAAATCTTCAATTTCTTCATCTTTGGCATTAGTGGTTGGTGTGTAAAGTTGCATAATAGTTGTATTAACTTGTAAGTCTTCCTTGTAGGTGTATGGATATTATCCTATCACTGACAGCATTGTATTTCAGAATAGATCTTGAAATGTTCTTTTTGACGATGAATGTGATGCCATTCCTCTTCAATTTGTCATTCCTGGCATAGTACATCATATGATTGTCTGATTCAAAATGGCCAATACCAGTCCATTTCAGCTCACTAATGCCTAGGATATCAATGTTTATGCATTCCATTTCATTTTTGACGATTTCCAATTTTCCTAGATTCGTAGTTCGTACATTCCACATTGTGATTATTAATGAATGTTGCAACCAACATGAGGAGGTCTTTTTTTAAACCTGTGGTTTCTTGGGAGTGGTCAGATGCCTCATCCCATAAAATCTCTAGAGAGTAGCCTGTCCTTGGCTTCCATTTGCTCTGAACACTGCTCTGGACATTCTCCAGCCCAGGCAGAGTGACCTCCAAAGCCAGCCTACCCTGGCCCGGAGGTTTCTCAGTCTCTCACAGAGACCAATAACGGATTGCTTCACAGGGAAATTGGACAGTGTGACTGGAGTCCTGCCTCCCACCCTCAGGGCCTCAGTTTCCTCATCAAAATGAGAAGGGTGGGCATGGACTCTCAGAAGCCGCCTGGAGCTGACATTCTGGCCCTCTTGGACCCGGTCCCTTCTCTACTCTCAGAGTGGCTGTTTCCACCACCCCTTGGAGCAAGTAAGGGCATGGTGGCTATGAGGTACACTCAGCATATCTCTTCCCCATCAGGACTTGGTCTTTGACCTGGGAGACCCTGTGAGGTGGGAGTACCTACTCCTGGGGACCGATAAGCCTCACCTGCTCACGACTGATGATGACGATGATGGGGTGAATGATGACGATGATGATGTGGAAAATCTGGTGAGTCTCGGTGAGCGGGTGGGGCAGGGATGAGGTGTGGGGAGGGCTTCACACCCCATCTTGTGTCAGGCCAACTTGACAAATGTCTCCATCAACATGTGTATGTATGGGGGTGGGGATAGTCCAGGTAGACCAGTTATACATTCCTCAAGGCAGAAGAACCCTCCTAGCCTGGATCATGCCCCCGTGTTACAGAGGGCAAACTGAGGCCCAGACAGGTCCGGTGACCTGCCCAGGGCCACTGCTTGGTTAGAGGAGGGCTGGGACTTGAATTCAGGTCTCCTGCCCCACACACAGTCCACTCTTGTTCAGGGTCACACTGCTCCCTGTGGAGAGCACACCCTTGGAGTGGGGTGATAAGACCTTCTCACTGAGCCCCTGGGAGCCCCAGGGCCGTCCATTCCTCACGTCCCGTCCTGCGTGGCCACTTCCAGGGTTTTCTTGTCCATCCTATCAACCCTTCTAAAGGTCATTGGCCCCGGGGCCTTCACAGAGCCATCAGCATCCCTTCCAGGCAGGTCTTCAGGAGGCCCTGTGTGTGGTGTTCAGGGGCACAGGGACCTTAATTACTGGCTGTGACCTTGTGCAAATTTCCTGTTAAACAAGCTTCAGTTTTCTTATCTGTATGTAAAATGGGAGAGGGCATCATAGTAGTATTCATAGTACAGTGAAACCTGTGAGAGCCGGAATTTGATGGCACTGCCTTGTTTTTCCACGTCTCACAAGTTTTCCGCCTCTGACAGGGTGCAGTCTTACCACTTTTCTATCTCCTGTTTTAGTGGAAAATACTTGCGTTTTCCTTCTCTGACAGGTTTCTGCCTTACACAGATTCTAGCTTTCGCAGGTCTTACTCTAATAGTAATAATAGGTAACATTCATATACTCTTGCTGTGTACCAGACACTGTTGTAGGTGCTTTACAATCACCCAGTGAGGTGGCTACTAGTATTATCATCCATAATAATTATCATTCCATTGTACAGATGGGAAGACTTTTACACACAGGGGTTAAGTAACTTACCCAAAGCTGCACAATCAGT